GTTCCAAATTTGCATAAAATCATTAAATCGTGGGACCTCAAATTTCCCGGAAAACAAGATGCAAATGAATTTCTCGACGAATTTGAAAGAAAAATGACCGCTTCAGCAATCGATCCCAACGACGCGCTTCCGATTTTTTCCCAAACGCTCACAGATACCGCGTTTTCATGGTTCAACATGTTTCGCCATAAATGGACAACATGGACCGAATTTTCTAAATCATTCCGAAAAACATTTAGCGATGTAAACGACGATAACCAAATCCTCAATAAAATACATCGCGCGGTTCAATTAGAAAACGAAATAGGGATAGACTACGTCATAAAAATCGGCGCGCTCTACAACAAACTGAGAAATAAAATTCCAGAAAATATTCAGCTCGATAAAATTTATCTAAGCCTGCATTCGGAATTAATTTCTCTTTTCGATCGCGACAGCTTCAACTCTTATGAAGAACTTTTAGATAAGATACGCAAATACCAAGAAAAAATCGAATTTATGCAGCAATCAAATAAATTGCGCGAACAAGACGCGAAACGGTCTCGTAACCCGCGCAATACAAACCAATTGAATGCAATCGATTCACAGGTATCTCAATCCAAAACCCCTTCCGTCGAATCTACCGAAAATGATAAAAAAGCAGAAAATAAACAAAAACAAGCGAATAAAAGTAAACAAAAAGCGAAACCAGAGCCCGAACAAAACTTAAATAAAATAGACATCTATCAAAAACAGTTCGAGTCTCTTAAACAAAAATTAAATATAAGCGATGCAGAAAATTCCAAAGCGAATAAATCTAAGAGCGCTTTGATCAGTCCGAACAAACCTTCGTCTTCTCACAGATCGCGCAAACGTTCCACTTCTACTTCTTCTCACTCCTCAAGCTCTGCTTCGTCGCAGAAAGGGGGGGAAAAGCGTAGATCGTCTGCGCACAAGAAAAGCGAAAATCCTCGTGGCCAAAACGGTCGTGGGAATGTCCAACGAGGCGGAAACAATCAAAATAATCGCGGACGCGGTTATAACAATGGTTGGAATGGCAGTGGCCGTGGTTACAATCAAAACCAAGGCTACTATCATAACTCCCCCCACTCTCCGCAGTACTACCAGCTAGATTGCCAGTGCAACGCGCAAAACGTAAGACCTCCTTGTCCCCCGCACGCGCCTCCACCGCAACCAACGCAGCCACCATGGCACGGTAATTACAACCGCGATTACTCACAAAACTACGGTCACAACGCGCAGGATAATCAATCAAAAAACGACAGAGATGCCAGGAGAGACTAGATCTCCCTGGCAAAACCCCATCTAAACAAAACGAAAATCGACCGATAAACTACTTAAACGAAATTGATACTTCTTCAAATTCAGAAAGCATCCCTATCGCTAATAAATCAACGTACAATCCTCAAATAGCATCAACACTAAACAAAGCGCATGCAGGTAGGATTGATACTAGTGATTCTGAGAGCGATTATGATGATTGCTTATATTCTGAATCTGAGACTGAGTACTCTGAATCTGAGGAAGATTGCTCTCCCACAATAGGCGCGTGCATATCTTCACTCAGATCGTTGCCACTGATTAATCAGTCGAACAATTTATTTGTATTGACTGATAAAACTAAGCGCAGAGTACACAAAGGGCACGCATCGCCCTCACCGCCTCAGGAAAGATGTACAATTTCCACGGTAATCAAAATCGGTAACGAAAGAATAACAGCGCTTCTTGACACAGGTAGTGATCGAACTTTCATGTCAGGAGAACTTTTTGACAAACTCGAAAGTTTAGCTAACGGCGATCCGATTAAGGATGCGATAACGCGCGCCGGCGTACAACTCGCGCAACGCGATCACGTAGCCGCACCTCGCCATTCCGTAAAATTCGATATCGAAATAGATAATTGCTTCCTAAATTCGGCTCAATTAATCGAATTATCTCCGGAACAAAGGAATAAATTGAATGCGTTTTTAGATGATAAATTATCGAAATTTACCTCTGGAACCGGTGTTAATAATTTAACGACACACGTTATAGAGCTCACCGATCCAACGCCATTTAAATTAAAACCCTACCGCCGTAGCTTAGAAGCGAACAAAATTATTAACGATCAAATTGACATTTACCTAGACAAAAAGTTTATTGTTAGGAGCAACGGACGTTTTGCTAGCCCAGTGGTGCTCACTTATCGTAAGGATGGTAGGCCTAGAGTATGCATGGATTTCCGAAAGTTGAATAAGAACACAAAGAAATCAGCATACCCTTTGCCACGTATGGACACCATACTTGATGCGCTATCTGAGGCTAACATTATTAGCACCATTGATTTAACCGACGCGTTTCACCACATACCAATTGACCCGAAATCGCGAGAATACACCGCCTTCGTTGTCCCTGGTCGTGGACAGTTTGAATGGGTCAGAATGCCCTTCGGACTCACAAATGCGCCGGCAACTTTCCAAGCTCTAACCGATAGACTGAAAGAAAAGTTCGTAGAACACATTCGCGCTAAAAACCTGCCCGAACATTACTGCGAACAAGTTCACGCGTATCTCGACGATTGGATAATAATATCCAAAACTTTTGAAGAACATATTCTGCTTCTCGATGTAGTCCTTACCATTCTACAGGAAGCGGGATTGTCCATCAATCGCGACAAATCTTATTTCGCGAAATCGTCAGTAGAATATTTAGGTTTCATCCTCGACAAAGACGGTTTAAAACCAAATGCAAAGCGCGTCAAACCAATCCTCGAACGAGCGACTCCTCGTAATCGAAAAGAATTACGCCGGTTCAACGGCTCAGTGAACTGGTACCATCGACACCTGCGCAATATTGCAAAAGTGCAAGGACCACTAAATAAATTAGCGAGTCCAAAGGTACCTTGGAACTGGACCGAAGAACACGAGGCCGCGTTCAACGGAGTTAAAGAATCTTTAAAAAGCGCTTTAACTTTAGTCGCGCCTAGGCCCGGTTTACGCCTCTACTTGTATACCGATGCAAGCGACACCGGTATCGGTGCTATTTTGACACAGCAAGATGGAGAAAAAGAATACTTGATCACATGCTTAAGCAGACCTTTAAGAGGTGCTGAATTAAATTACACCACCACCGAAAAGGAATGCTTGGCAGTGATCTTCGCTATTAAAAAGCTCCGCTGCTACCTCGAATGCGCTGAATTTACTGTGATAACGGATCACTCTAGTTTAATTTGGTTGCAAGGCCTCAAAGACCCAAAAGGTAGACTCGCGCGATGGGCTCTTGAACTATCCGCGAATAACGTCAAGATTGAACATAGAAAAGGTACAACCAACGAAGCGCCGGATACACTCTCACGACTTTACGAAGACGATACTAACGATACGCACGTTACCGAACTAAATTCTGTTAAAAGTCAAAGTTGGTACGACCAGATGTTAGAAAAAGTTCGTAAAGATCCCTCGCGCTACGAAAGATACAAAGTTGATTCGAACAATCAACTATACTACTATAAACCAAATATGGTTAAAGAAACCATCGGCGATAATAACGCCTGGAAAAAGATCCTTAAAGAAAACGAAACAACCACCCTGCGCAGAGAGTAGCTCATCAGAGATGCCGCGGTTCTTTAGGGACTCAGCCCATGCAGGTGCAGCGTAAAGCTGCTTTGCCTGAACCACGGTCGCCACTAATCGGCGTTTCTTTTCCCTGGGGCCACCGACATTGGGCATCATCCTAGATAGGTTTCCCATACAGTCGGCGGCATTCAGTGACGTGATCTTAGCATGTTGGTCGAACTTTAATTTTCGATCCAACGTCACTCCCAGGTACTTCAGACTGTTTTCCCAGGAGACTTCAGTTTGTCCTATACGAATCTTTGGGACTGTAAAGGATCTCTTACCCGTCACGAGCAAAGCTTCTGTCTTCTCTATAGCCATTTGCAGGCCGTTGAGATCTAACCAGAACTTCTCTCGTCTCAGACTGTCGTTGATCCTTATTTTCAGAATCTCAGGACTCTCCGCGCCACACACTATAATAACGTCGTCCGCAAAGCCAACCATTATCGTATCTTCAGGTAAATCCATTCTAAGGAAGTCATCGTACATGACGTTCCATATGAATGGACCCACCTTTGATCCTTGGGGAGCTCCGCATGTCATTTCATGTTTGAGATGACATGCATCGCTCTTGTATTCAACCCATCTGCTGCTAAGATAGTTGTCTATCATTCACAACAGATAGGTTGGTACCCCTTTACGACGCATCGCCTCGATGCAATTGTCCCACCTTGCGGAATTAAACGCATTACGTATGTCGATGGAGACAAGCGCGCAGAATCCTTTCTTCTTGTCCTCTTTGACTTTCTTTGTCTGGTTTACAACAGTGAGTATTGCATCGACTGTTGACCGGCCTTTCCGAAAGCCAAATTGATTCTCCGATAGGCTATTTTCGCCTATCAGGATTTCCTGAAGTCTCTGTAGAACCATTCCCTCTAGAAATTTTCCCATCGTATCCAATAAACAAATTGGTCTGAACGATGTGACCTTATCCAGAGGTTTATCGCCTTTCCTGAGAAGGACCAACTTCTGCGTTTTCCAGTCATCGAAGAACTCTCCGGCTTTCAAGCACGTATTAAAGACGTCAAGAAGCAACTGTGGATCCACTGCGACAACCTGTTTTAAGATTTCGCTCGGGATGACATCATTGCCTGGCGCTTTGCCGTTTCTTAACGTCTTTGCCACTTTTTTCAATTCTTCAATCGTGAAGAGCTCCTCGTCTCGTACTACGCAGTGAGTACAGTCCTCTCTGGGGCTAGGTTCCACATAGGGAAACAGTGCCTTTATAATTTCTAGGACCCAAATCGGATCATCCAAACCAGGGGTTTTATGCCTTGTCATTAATTTCTTAGCGACAATCTTAAAGGCCAAACCCCACGGATCCTTCTCGGAATCTCCGATCAGGTCCTTCCAGCAACGGCGTTGGCTACTTTTCACGGCCTGCTTAAAAGTCCGCCTGGCTTTATGTCATGTTTCCCGCAGCTGGAGGTTTCCCTTAGAATGGGTAAACTTCCTCCTAGCTGCGTGGCAATCTCTCTTAAGACAGGCTAGTTCTTCATTCCACCAGTACATAGATCCCTTTCCAGTTTTTCTTTTCTGCCGGCGAGGCATAGAGTGATTGCAAGCTTGTACAATCACTCGCCTTGCCTCTCGCACTATACCCTTTAAAGAAGCCGGTTTCCTCACCCAGTTTAGTTCTCGAATAAATCGCGACTCTTCCAGGGATTCCACCAGCTTCTCCCTGTTTAGCCTCCTGAGGTTCCAAGAGGGGCTCTTGCTACCATATTTAGGAGCGACGCGCCCTCTGGAATTCTCCTCGGAGACTAAAAACTCTATGTACTGGTGGTCACTCATTGTTTCCTCGTCCAGTACCCTCCATTCACTTGTTCTGCGGGCTAGTCGGGGAGACGCAATTGTTAAATCAAGAATAAATCCTGATACTCCCCTCCTAAACGTGAACTCCTTGCCCCGGTTCAAAACCACCAGGCCATTTGCGGAGATCATGTCAGTGACCAAGGTCCCCCTCCTGTCAAGACGAGTCTCTCCCCATTCCGGTGACTTACTATTGAAATCACCCGCAATGAGGACATCCCCGACGCAAGTCTTAAGACTTTCCTCAAGAGAGAGGATCTCGGTATCGAATTTTGCAAGGGGATCATTTGGGGAGAAGTAGCAGCTGTAAATTCGAACACCCGCAACCTCTACCCAAACGAAACCGTCACCTGTTTCCAAAAATTTCCCGATGGCAAGCACGGGGTTGCATATAATTATGCCTGATCTCCTTGATGCATCCTGAAACCAGTTTGAGTATATATGCTTCTTATACTGCTCATTTATAAGCAGTACATCAGCTCCTCTCTCCCTGGCAGTCTGCATCAGGAGATCTTAAGCGACGCGTCCTCTGCCAAGGTTGACCTGGAGGAACCTTAACTCCTTGCCCTTAGCTTTCTGAGTTCCTCCTTATAAATTGGGCAGGACCCAGTTCCTGGATTGTGGTTGATCTCCTTCTCTCCTTTGTCCACACAAGTTAAACAAACAGGTTTGTTTTTACAATCCTTGTGGGAATGATCAGGAGAGCCACATTTCCAGCAAACCTTGCCTCGGTCCGGCTTCTGACAGGTTTTTGACAGATGCCCATAGCAAAGACACCTGAAGCATCTGTCCACCTCGATTCTAGGCCGGATCCTGCAATTAATTCAGCCGACCTTCACCCTGGCCGTCTTCAGTAGCGCATCCGCGTCTGCTTCCTGGAGTTGCACAATGGCAAGTTTTTCTCCACGGCCCAGGGGAATAAGTCGACAAGACATTTCCAAGTCGGTCCTATTATTATTATTATTATTATTATTATTATTATTTTTATTATTATTATTATTATTATTATTATTATTATTTTTTTATTATTATTATTATTATTATTATTATTATTATTATTATTATTTTTTGCTTAGGGACTTTTGGGAAATCTGCCTACAGATACCTTGGATTCCGCGCTCCAAGGTTATGTGGGGTTGGTATGATAAAACAAAAGGAAATATAAAAAAAAGAAAAAAAATATATATATATTATAGTAAATTTAATAAACTGGCGACCTACTACCAGCCCGGCCCACTAAAACCCGTAACCCTTCTTCTGGAGCCCTTTACCCTCCCTCGGAACTGTCGTAAGACTTTAGCCTTCGAGGGTGGCGCTCCAACTCTGTCGCTAATGCGACTTTCTGCTTTTCTCTGCGGTTATCCTGCGTTAATAGTTAAAAATTTAAAACTATTTCAATATAAAGCGGAATTAACAGCACAACAATAATTAAAAATAACAAATGTGTAATTAAGTGTAAAAAGTCAGAAGATAAAATTATAAACGGATATATAAAAAAAAGAAAAAATAAACACGTATAAAAAATTGAAAACATAAAACTGTACAAAGATGAATAAAAAAACACAAACAATTAAAAAATGTATAAGGACAAATAAATCACAAAATAAATTAATAAAAAAACAAACGAACAAAATTAAAAGCTGTTTAAATTACGCTTTTTGGCGGCCGTCGAGATCCTTCCTCGACCATCCGTCGGGGGATGTCTCACCCGTCGATTGATGTTTTTTCATCCATCTCCTGGTGATGCATCCGCCGATTGATTTACCTGGCCGCGGTGATGGGGCCTAGAGATGGAAACGTTGGGACTTTCGCGCTCTCCCTCCCGGGGAGGGGCATCTTCTCGGTTTCCCCCTGGACTTGAGGATGTCGATTTTCGATAAAGATGAGTTTCCCTTCCGTCTGACTCGTGATCCCGTTAAGTCGGGCTATCCGGAGCTTGGAGTTTGGGGCGTCAATACGTTGACGTACTCGGAGTCGGTTTTCGTATTGATTCTTTTCCTTCGGGGGGGCAGGGCAGGTGTCGCTCAACTGGCTGGGCAGCCCGTATATTCTTTCGCGATTTTACCTTGACCAAGAGACTATCCAAGACTTACACTTACTCGAAAATACTCTTACACACACATGACTGACCCATGTAACACATGAGACGCATGTGTTGCATATAAGACAGACATAAATACACTTCCCATGCACAAACCTCCGCGCACCCTGCCTCAGGGGGCAGTACATTGCGGAGTTTACACAACACTTTCATTCACACCTCACACACTTATATGCGAGACTGGTTAAAGAAGGCATAATACGAATTATGGACAAAACGCAATTCATAGAATCGGAGAGAACGAAAAACACGAAAGCTCGAGAAAACTTAACCTCCTTGAGACTCTCACAATCTCGCCGTTCAGAGAGACGACCTAGTGGTACCCCAGAACCAAGTAATTCAGCCGGAAATTTTAGAACCCCAAAATTAGACTTTAAAAAACGACTGGCAACAAGCCCAGCGGAAAATACAGAAGCTACACCTACTGGGAAAAGAGTAAAAGATCTCCCAAGAGATACAGAGTGGAGACAAGTGGCAAAGAAGAAAAAAGCCAAAGAAAAAGCGGAGGACAAGATACCAAGAAAGAGAAAAGCACTTTCATATGCAGTACTATTCAAACCCCTAAATGATGAAACGTACAAAGATGTATTGACAAAAATACGTAGCCAAGTAAAGCCTGAAGATACCGAGACTGAAATACGAAAAATCCAGGAAACAAGGTCTGGATCCATTTTAGTCGAACTAGAAGATAAAACGAAAAACCAAGAAGCTTTCACGGAAGCTATAAAGAAAGTAGTAGGAGAAGCAGCAACTGTAGAATTCCGTGCCCCTAAAATGACCCTGGAATTCACGGATCTAGATGCCATCACGACTACCGCAGAGGTCGTAGAAGCTGTAAACAGAGAATTAAAAACCCTAGAAGCAGACGCGAAAGTGACGCTCACTAAACCAAACAAAATAGGACAAATATGCGCAATAGTAGAACTAACAGAAAAACATGCGATAGAGTTATTGAACCTAAAACGAATTAAAGTAGGTTGGATATACAGCCGTATACGCCAAAGAGCTTACGTCCCGAGATGCTTCAAATGCCTCGGATATGGACACCTAGTCCGAAATTGCGACGGTCCAGACAGAACAAACGCCTGTTTCAAATGTGGAGAAACTGGACATAAAGGAAAAAGCTGCACAGCAGACCCACGATGCATTCTATGCACTGAAAAGAACTTAGACCCCACACAAACTAACCATGTGCCTGGTTCAGGAAAATGTGCTGTGTTTAGAGAATCTCTTGAAAAGGCAAAAGCAAAGATAAAGAAGTGATTAGAGTTCTACAGCGAAACCTGCATCGAAGCAAGACAGCAAATGACTTATTATATCAAATGGCAGTAGAAAAACAAATAGACATATTGTTACTTAGCGAACAATATGAAAATAGAAACACCACAAATTGGTTTAAAGACAACCTGGGTACAGCAGCCATAATGGTCCGCGATACCAACAAGGTCCAAATAGATGAACACGGATCTGGGAACGGTTTCGTTTGGATAAAGACGAGTAAAACTGTCTTTATTAGTACCTATCTTACACCAAGAGAGAGAATTGGAGATTTCCAAAAGAAATTAAACGAACTAGAAGATAAACTTGAGAAAATGAACAATCAAATTATTTTAACGGGAGATTTCAACGCAAAAGCTGTCGAGTGGGGCATGCCATATACTGACAGCAGAGGCAAAAGAGTGTTAGAGATGGCCGCTAGAAGAGGATCAATCCTCCTGAACACAGGCTCTACTTCTACCTTTAGACGACCAGGATGTAAGGAAACAATAATCGATATTAGTTTCGCTACGGAAGAATTAGTCCACCAAGTCGAAAGTTGGAGAGTACTGGAGGATTACACAGCTAGTGATCACCAATACATTTATTTCAACATTAGGATCGAAGAACATGGTAACCCGCCCCTAGAAGTAACGCGAAAATGGAATTTAAAGAATTTAAACCAAGGAAAACTTTTGGAATTAATCACCCAACATCAACGCGAAGTGATAACAGAGCTTAAAAACGCAAAATGCGAAATAGATGCTGAAGCCGCGGTGGACCGCACCATGTTTTTAATAGACCGTGCATGCGCTGCTGCTATGCCCCGAAAACAAACCCGCCGAATTCACAGAGCAGTTTACTGGTGGACACCACGGATTGCGGATTTAAGGAGAAAGTGTCTTCGAACTAGACGAAAAGCTCAACGCACCAAAAGGTCCTGCGCGCTATACCCCACAAAGCAAGAGGAATACCACCAAGCAAGGAAGGAACTACGAAATGAAATAAAGACAAGTAAACGAGCCTGCTGGAATTCCTTAAAAGAAGATGTCGACAAAGATCCATGGGGAAAAGGTTACAAAATTGTAACCCAAAAATTAGGAAAAACAAAATCTGCAAATATCAAAGAATGGAAGGAAATGGAGCAAATCATCTCAGCCCTGTTTCCTAACCATCAGCTGGAGAACGATGATGCACCGGATCTGATAGAGGAAGAAATAACGCCGTTCGACTTTCTTGAACTCAGGAATGCAGTAAGATCAATTAAAGACAAAAAATCACCAGGTCCAGATGGTATACCAGGCGAAATACTCAAGGTTATTCACCGAGGCAACCCACAGCTCCTTTTGGAGATGTTTAACAGCTGTCTCAGAACAGGATGTTTCCCGAGAAGATGGAAGCAACAGAAGCTAGTCCTCATCAGCAAAGACAAAGGTGATAAAAATGCCCCGTCTGCATACCGACCTATGTGCATGCTTGATACTGCTGGAAAACTATTTGAGAAGCTGTTAAAATCTAGACTGCAAATAGAAATCAAGAAAGCTGGTGACCTCTCGGACCGACAATTCGGATTCCGAAAAGGCGTTAGTACAGTGGACGCAACCCAAAGGATCATGGATGCGGCTTCCCAGACGAAGAAAGGGAACCATTTTTCCCGTCCAACGGTCTTGCTAGTTACCCTGGACGTTAAAAATGCCTTCAACTCGCTGCGATGGAAAAACACTCTGCAGGCCCTCAAAGATAGATTTCAGCTCTCACCCTGTCTCTACCGTATAGTTAAGAACTACCTCAAAGATAGAATGCTACTGTACGACACAAAGCAGGGCACTCGCAGAAGAAAGGTGACCGCAGGAGCCGCACAAGGTTCGGTTCTGGGACCGGACCTTTGGAATGCCACCTACGACGACATCCTAAAACTGGAGATGCCAGAAGACTCCTTCCTAGTAGGCTACGCAGACGACATAGCTGCCATAATTGCAGCCCGCAATCTTGAGCAGTGTCAATTGAAGCTGAACGAAGTGATGAGAAAGGTGTCTAGCTGGATGGAGGACCATAGTCTCAGCTTGGCCCTACAGAAAACTGAAATAGTAATCATCACGACGAAGCGCATCAACCTGGAAGTGAAACTACGAGTAAGTGAGAACGA